GTTTCAATGAATTACTGCACCTATTTTCAATTTTCCTAGTAAAATATAAAAAAAATGAAGGGTGGCTCAAAACATTTACTCACTACTGTGTACAATATAAATAAAGTACATAAGAATACGCAAAATAAATTGAATTTAAAATGAATAAATGAATTAAAGTAAGCCTGGTACAAATAAAAATAAAGAAAATTAAAGATTAACATTTAAGATTTATAAGATATATAAGAGTTTATATAAAACATGACATCATACAAAGTAGCTTAGGCAGTAACCACACATGGAGTTGTTTGGCTGCAGTGCAAAGGTGTTTAGTCTCAGCTCTCTGCAGTTAATTATTGACTTTTCAGCGTCACTACACAGTTCTGGCCTTTGGCCCCCAAAATAATGTGCTGTGATGATTGTATCCCTCTGAGAACAGACAAACATGGAAGTCGTAAAACAGAACTTTTACTATCACAAACACCTTCATTCAGCCTCAGAATGAAGAGTTGAAATGATAAATAACACTATTGAGTCCACACTGAAGCAGAGGACCACAAGCAGTCATTAGATTCATTATTTTCACATCCTCTTTATTTATTTAAAAAGAGTCTAAAACTCTCCAAAATTTACTAAAACCATCTAAAGAAGTTGAAGTTGGGCCAGGCTGTACTTTCATTATTACCACTTTGTACTCATGACATTACAGTCAGTGAGCATATCCTGGTAAATCCTCCTTTCAAATTCTTTGAATGACCAAAATTGACAAAATAGGACCTGAAAGGATTGACCTAGTTCATTATCTCAGCAGGAAAGTGTTTACGATATAGAGGTCAGAGCCGAGGGGCATATGAATTTCTTAAGGACCAAAAGACTCAAAGACAGACTCAAAAATAGTTTCTTCCCAAAAGCCATAATCACCCTGAACTCCCACACGCACTGACAACACAGTACCACCCCCATCCCAAGGACTTCCCTCTATAAACAGACTACACAACTACCATAACCACTGTGCAATACTTAATTTTACACGCAATAACCTACACTGTAAATACACAACACTATTTGTTTACTTATTTATCTTTTTTATTTTGTTTTCCCAGATTTGTATATTTATACATTTTATTTATGTTTTTTCTTTTCTAAATACTGTTCATATGTATATAGAGCTGCAGAAACTGTGCATCTCACCACCTTTATTCTCCCACATGTTTGCACTGTGTAGGAGATGCTCTGTATCTCATTGTACATCTGTAGAGTGACAATAAAGGCATTCTATTCTATATCTTTTTGCAACTACAGTGGTTACCCCCTAGTGGCTACCATGCAGAATGCAGGTTTAGGGCACTTCCGCTTTATTACCAAACTCAGAGGTTATCTGTGTTTTTACACTGGCTTTGAGTAAGGCTAAAAAGACATTTTTCACCAATATTGAAGAATGTTACTGTTAATGTCTGGAAACATCTCACAAGTTAAACGTTGCCTCCTGGTGATAAAAGAACTAGTTCAAGCATTTATTACTTCTCGGCTAGACAGCTGTAATTCGTTATTATCAGGATGTCCCAAAACCTCAGAGAAGTTTTATAATTTAGATTAAAACTTTACTTTTTGCTAAAGCATATAGTTAGGGCTGTGTCAGGTGAGCCCTTAGTTAAGCTGCAATGAGCAGTGTAATTAAAGCTTCTTACTATTAAAAAGTTTTTCCTTCCCACTGTTGCCACATGCTTGCTCATAGGGGGTCATCTGATTGTTGGGCTTTTCTCTGTATTATTTTAGGGTTTACCTTACAATATGAAGTGCCTTCAGGCAAGAATGGTTGTGATTTGGCGCTATGTGAATAAAATTGAATTGAACTGAACTGAAAGTTTGTTATATTTTGCAGACAGTAAAGCAGAAAGTTGACGTCCCAGCAAAACCACAAAATTTCAATTTCGATAAATTTATAAATGTATATATCTCAAATATTGTGGAAAATGTTTTACCCTCTGAACCTTAACATTTTCACAAACTAGGGACAAATTTTTCATTGTAATATAAAGTAATGGACATCTATGGGAAGAGAACTACCAGTGTTAAGCAGAGAAATAACTTGAAAATATCTCATCAGCTGAAATGAAGTTCTTCTTTTATAAATCTGTAGGTCTGTGGTTTGTCAGTCAAACAATAATAGACAACAACTCAGTATGATGATTGTTTACGGAGCTGAGGTTGTTTGGTAATAACTGAAGAGTTGATACTAAAACTGGAACAGAGTAGCTTTCTGTTCTTATGCTCCACACCCTTCCCTTTCTTAACCCCATTTGTTCATTGTCCTTTCTCACCAGACGCTAACCTTTTTTGCCTGTTCTGTTCTTCTCTATCAATAGCAGAGATAAAGGGGATTTTTGCCCCTGTCTTAAATCTATAAACCTTGCAACTTAACCTGGTATCCACCTCCTTGAAATGTAACGACATGTTGCATCAAATTGTCTCGCTCAGTATCTTTCTCTCCTTCTAAACATTTCCAGCCACTACTTCTGTTATGTCATCATGTAGCTGGTCAGTCCTGCAGTAAAATCCATATTCCAAATATATAAACTCTATTCTAATCTACAGGTCACAAAGCCACCGCCTTTAGTATTTACCCAACACAACAAATGAGCCTTTGTTGTGTTGGGTAAATATGAAATAAATAGCTGCTTTGTTTACATATTTGGTTCAGCACTACTAATTTTGCTTCAGTAGGCAACACATTAAAAAAAAAAAGGTGCAACTTTTACCCTCATAGTGGTCTTTGCACATGTTTGCTGATGAACAATATGCATCTGCATTAGCATAACGAGTACAACAAAACAGGAAATGACCATAAACTAGTATTACTCATTATACAACTTCAACAACGGCAAGCTGTGGCTAAAAAAAAAAAAAAAAAACTGCCCAAGCTGACAAAGACCAATGCTAGAGACAGTTCCTGTATATTACAAGATAGTTTTTAATCTAGTTGTAATTGACCTTAATACCCGTGGTGGGTACAGAAAAAACAAAATTAAAGCACTAATGTTCTTCTTCTCTGGTCTGTTGCAGAATGTGGGGAAAGCACTACGCTTCAGCTGGCGCTGCCTGGTAACTGGTCTGCAGAGCATGGCGTCCGTGTACTCCACACCTCTCTCAGCTGTGGCCACCGTGGTAACAAATGTTCACCAAGCCAGTGGCAGCAAGACATGATGGGACTCGGAGGGACCAGGAGTGTAGCCCCTTATTCCTTGTGTTCAAGCTGACTTTGAATTCATCACCTCTGTTGTGCCTGTTTTGTTTTTATTCTATTTCTAAAATATATAAACTGTATATTTACTCGATTTATGAAAACCATTGATACCTGTCACATTTATGGCCTTAGTTTTCAAATTTGAATCGAACCCTGCTGTTGTGTTAAATTAAACAATAGTCTTTCATGTTTCAAAATTCACCTCAAGCAGACCCTTCAGAACACTTTGGGTTTATTTACAGTGTTAAGAAGCTTTCTGTTCCGTGTGGGCTTTGGTAACCACTGGCAACCAAACAACTAGCAATGTCTGTGTACAAATCTCAACGATAACAAAGGAAGCTCCACCTTGTGGTGCTTCTCCACAACTGCACTTTAGAAACTCATTGACAGAGATAAATTTTCGAGGTTCTGGAGCACTAAACGGATATATTCTTCCAGTCAACCAACCATATTTGGATGAAGTAAAGATGCTCTAACAGGACGCTGACACACTCCTCTCCTTTCTGCTCTTTTATGTTTTTATCAAGGTTAGGAGAGTTAGTAAATGCTGTTAAAATAATCAGAATGAACAAAAAAAAAACAACTAACTAATTTGTCTTTCATGATGTTTGTTTACATAATCAAAGGTCAGGTACTTTTTGTGCATTTCACAAGTGCTTATTGAAAAATAAATGTAAATATGACAAAAGTGTGAGGACATTTGTTTTTAAGTGGGCGTATTTGTTGATAAGTTATCTGTAATACAACGCAGGAGGTGTAGCACACGCTTTTCCATAGCTGTGGACGATGCAGGGAATAAAAAAGCTTCTACAGCAGCTACACAAAAGAGAGTAGAGCTTTCACATCATCATATATGACAGAGTAAAAACGAAAAAATTTATTTTCCCCCCCCCACGCATTGCTGCTTGCGTGTTTCTACATGGACACCCCTTAAAGCTTGTATAATTAAACTTTGGTGCTTTTAGGCACTAGAGTTGTAAAAGGCTATTTTAGGTAACTGCATCCCTCTCAAAACATGAGCTGATATCGATTAGATTTTCTCAGCCATGTTTCGGGTGTAGGATGCCACATTAGCTCTTTAAATGGGCCTCTAGATGCTTAAACACCATTGCTGGCAAGCTGCATTTGACCTGTGGTCAGCTAGTCAAATACTGATAATATTAACTATCAGCAGCCTGGTATGACATCTATGATGCCTATCCAACATGCCTCACCTGTGGACTCTCAGGGTGTCGGACATTAACTGAAGAGTTAATACTAAAACTGGAACGGAGCAGTCTTATGCTCCACAGTAAGTGTTACATCATCTTTCCCTTTTTATTTAAACTCCATCTTTCATCATCCTTTTTTCTATTTAAATATCACCCCTTGTCTTGGTTCTTTTTTTCTCCAGCATCCATATCCTCCTTTACTTTTACAAAACCCCTCATTTCCTTCTTCAGTAATTTTCTCCACTGTCTGCAGAGCTTAATTTATTTTCTTTCATTGCCTCTGGCTGTACCTTCTCTTTTCCAGTACAGGTGGTTCTGGTGCCGGACCGCACATGACCTCCGGGTGTCGCTGTACCGCTGTACTGAAAATAGTCCCCGCTGTCGGGCCTTATGGAGAAAAGAAGGCGTAATAAAGTTGGCCCTGAATATAAGCCGCCTCCTGCTTGACAGGTCAACCACTTTCTTGTGACAGCAGCAGCTGTTCAGACCTGACCGGCACGCGCTGCTCAGAGGTCTGCTGGAACAACATGTGGAGCTCCTGAAGAGTTCAAAGTTGTGAGTTTTGAAGTTTCCAGCATGGTAAAGGTCAGGATGAATCAGCTTGTGGGAGACCAGACAGGCCCGCTCATGTCCCCGCTGCAGCTCTCCGTCTACTGGCGCCTCGCTCTAATCTTCTTCTTCACGGCTTTCCTCTTTTTTCTGGACATTTTCACCACCGCTGTGGTCGCTGAGACATGTCGCCATGGCAATGATACTGGCACGTTTGCTTCGTGGCTTGAAAAGTTGGCACCGAACAAGGAGGAAAACCAATCAGCGCTCAGCAAGGTTTTAAAGGACGACGCCGATTGGAGGACAGAGAGCGGGATCCGAGACGTGAGTGAAGATTATTTTCATTGAGAGGTCTGAAGTTGTAACACAGTCATGAATACTGTGATGGTGCAACACCTGGGGATATTTTTAAGTGCGTGTTTCTTATTCCCTTTACTGTTATAGTTATCTCATGGTTTAAAGTGTAGGCCTAAATATAGTTTCAGACACATTAGAAATGAACTGTAATGAAATGAAAAACGTGCAATTAATAAACTTTAGATTTTCTAGTTATATAACTTTCAGTTTTTGACACCACTGAAAGGCCAGCTTGGGGCCTCTTTCACCAAACATTGTTTCAACATTAAATGATCGGTTTAAAGTCTCAGCCAACATGCTAACTGGACAGTAATCTGCATTACATAACAGCAACTCTAGAGATTAACATGGTGTTAATGATCAACTTGAAGCTGTTAATGAACCATTTCTGAGGGTAAAGTAAAAAAAGCTAATTTTCTGTAAATCGTCTGTCATTAATCGTAACTGAATTTAGCCATGCTTAGCATAAGCACGTGTTGTAATCTTTTTAACTCGTTATAGACATTTGTAGTCATGTCTGGACCTCTATCTAGGAAATCCAAGAAAGGTTTCAGTATTTTTCAAGCACAGAATCAAAAATTTGCTAGTTCCGTCTTCCAAATGCACCTGTTCAACTGCTTATTAAAGCAAATTTCTGATCAACCACTGGCAGCAACTCAATGCATTTACGCATGTAGACATGGTCCAGACAACTTGCTGGGCCAGCACCAAACTATGCATCACAATCGAAAAGAAAGGGTGATTTAAGTGAATTTGAATGTGGTTGTTGTGTTGTGCTCTTCTGGGATTTTCCCCCTCAACCATTTCTAGGCTTTACAGAGAATGGTCTGAAAAACACTGCAGTTTTCTAGGTGAAGAGGAAGATCTTGGAATGTACAGCATGTAGGTGCATTCCTGAATATGTTAGAAGTCACAAATTCTGAGTTTGCAATTGGAATTTTTTTTATGAAATGCCCCTTTAACTTGCATTTCCCACTCGGAAATCCAAAGCAGACCAACATACCACGGATTACTAACCCGGCTGAATAGGGCTGTGCGATATGACCAAAATCTCATATCCTGATAAGGCATTTATCGTCCTGATAACGATATAAATCACAAAAATTTAACATTCTCTGTAAATTCTGTGAATCTCAGGCAGCTCGACTTGCGTGAAGTGTTTCCAGCTGGGCGTCGTGTACCTAGAGTCCAGTGTTTTAACCGATGCATGAAACTATACATTTTAGACATAAGTTTTAACGGCTGCCGTTTTCTTTGTGAGTATTATTACACAGCGTGCTGCGGGGAAAAGCCTGTTCTAACATTTGAGTCTAAGGTTTATTTTTTAGCACCTGACGGCTCTTTTTTGCTTTTCATCAGTAAATATTCTGCATCTTCCACGTGATTCAGTTTATTTTGAAAAGTCTCAACAGGATAAAAGGATTTTTGATTCAGTTCTTATTCAACTAGTAAAACACATCCAAACACATCCAAACTGATTATGGCCAAGTTAATAAACCCCCACAGCTACACATACACGTCATGTCTCTCATTGTAAACAGAAAAGTTAATCTTTGTGAAACTTGTTTCATTGCATCTTATATTTTGGTTCTCTGAGTGTATTCTGGACTTGAACATCTATATTTGCCTGTGTGTGTGTGTGTGTGTGTGTGTGTGTGTGTGTGTGTCAGTCAGTGTGTGGTTGGACAGACTGGTTGTCTTATGGTCAGATGCTCTTCATGACTGGTCTGCTGCTGGGATCTCTGTTTGGAGGAGCCATATCTGACCGGTACAACACAACACTTAACAGTCTGTAATACACTACTGGTCAAAAGTTTGGACCTTATATTTTAGATTCCTCAAAGTAGCTACCCTTTGCTTTATTGACAGCGCTGCAAACCCTTGGCTTTCTGTCAATAAGCTTCATGATGTAGTCACACTTCACAGGTGTGCCTTGTCAGGGTTCATTTGTGGAATTTATTGCCTTCTTAATGAGGTTGGTACCATCAGTTGTGTTGTGTAGAAGTCAGGTTGGTACACAACTGGCAGCCTAATTTGACAACTGTTAGCATTCATATTATGGTAAGAACCAATCAGCTAAGTAAAGCGAAACAACAGTCTATCATCACTTACTAAAGGTCAGTGGGTCCAAAAATTTGCTAAAACTTTAAATGTGCTTTGCAAAAGCCATCAAGCGCTACAATGAAACTGGCTTACATGAGGACCGCCCCAAGAAAGCTGCTGAGGTTAAATTCATCCAAGTCACCAGCCTCAGAAATCACAAGTTAACAGCACCTGTGTAAGGGCTATTTGACCAAGAAGAGAGTGATGGAGTGCTACACCAGTTGGCATGGCCTCCACAGTCACTTGATCTAAACCCAATCGAGATGGTATGGGATGAGGTGGACCGCAGAATGAAGGCAAAAGGGCCAACAAATGCTCCGCATCTCTGGGAACTCCTTCAAGACTGTTGGAAAACCATTTCAGGTGACTAACTCATGAAGTTCATCAAGAGAATGCCAAGAGTGTGCAAAGCGGTAATCAAAGCAAAGGTTGGCTATTTTGAAGAATCTAAACTATAAAACATGTTTTGAGTTATTTCACACGTCTTTGTTCACTACATAATTCCATACGTGTTTATTCATAGTTTGACGCCTTCAGTGAGAATCTACAATGTAAATAGTCATGAAAATAAAGAAAAAATATAAAAAATTAGAAGGTGTGTCCAAACTTTTGACTTGTAGTGTATATGTCAAGTTTAAGTTAAAATAAACATTAGTCATCACTCATCTTCAAACAAGAAAAATCTCGCTGATGGTTTCTGTGCAGGTACGGAAAGCGTCCAGTACTGCTGATTTCCATGTGCGTGCACGCCGTGTGTGGCCTCGTTCCTGCTGTCTTTCCTCAACCACTCCTCTTCCTTATTCTTCGCTGCCTGACTGGAATCTGCTGCTGCTGCATCAACATCTGCGCCTTCAGTTTAGGTAACACAAGAAACCTAAAAGCATGATTAAAATGTTGTATCACAGATCTACTTTCATCCCGTTATATTGAGCTGTGGTCTTCATTGGACATTTTCTGACCATTAATAAGTTAATTAAAGAAAGTCAGTTAAATGTATGAGTATCCAACTTCAAAATGTTTTTAGAAGTGTCTCACAAAGTATGTTGGGGAGCCTGCAGTGTTTTGTGCGAGCTGGAAGGTGGTTCGTTATCAGACAGCCCTCAGTGGGCTTTGGGTCACTGGCTGGATGGTGACTTTAATTGGACCGTGGTGGGACATACTTACATAAGGCTGATAAAAAGCACGTGTTCCAGATAAAGCCATCTTGACCAGGTTGAGGCCTAATGAAGCAGGATTGCTTCCAGCAGCTTCCTAACCTTTGACCCCTACAGTGTTATGTGCAGACTGGAGAAAGCAGTCTATTCCTTCAGCTTTGATTTAATTTAGCAGCTAGCCTTTACATAGTAAGTCATGGACCCAAAGTGTAGGAAGACTCAGGGTCTTATAATTTAGCTAATTCAATATTTATTGTATTTATTGTATTATATTTCTATCCATTGCTTCAGCATTTATTGTCAGTTCTGACCTCCCAGCTCATTGTTCCTTCAGTGGGCTGGTTTCAGTCATTATGCAAATGTACTGTTTATAAGTTTGGGGAAACCTGCAGTCAGCTGAGACTGAAGAAGTCACTTGGATGAGTGACGAAACGTTTCTCCCACAAAATGCTACGTCCAGATGAACAGAATCAACTTTTGGAGGGGTACCTTTAACACCTTTTCTTTTTGAAATGATCACATTTTGTAAGTGGTGTTGTGGGTCAAAGAAACAAATACACACAGACAGAGATTTGGTTTATTATTCATTGTTTATTATTATTATCAGTTAATTTTATCTAACTCTAATTACCTTAGCTAACTAAGGTAAGTCATTATGTTTAAACATGACTCTATGGAGACTTTTTATTATAGATTTATTATCTTTTTCCTTATGCATGTTATCTGACAGTGCTGTGTGCTAAAGATGAGTTTTAAATTATGAGATAAATGTATGTATATTTAAGTTGGCCAATCAGAAGGAAGTGGGCATTTAGGGACTGGAGCTAAAACAGTTGGGCTTCAGCAAGGTTCAGTATAACATAAAGAAGGGTAGTTTTTAAATAATAAATCAGGTAAAGCTACTCTAATAAATCTTAGAAGCTTTGGAGAGCAAGTTCACATTGAAGATAGCACTGAAACCTGCAGAATTTAAATTGTAGACTGTTTTAAACTGTTTGCGTTGCAGCAGTGGAGTGGACTCCCCCTGATTCTCGGCTGTGGCCGCCGGCTTTCCTGCCATTCTGCTTCAGCCTGGGGACAATGGGTGGAGCTCCTTTGGCCTGGCTCAACCCTACCTGGACACGTCTGCACCTGTCACTGGCTCTGCCTCAGATCATTTGTCTGCCACTCTACCTGTAGGCCAACACACCTGTTCACCTGTGGTAGCCTCATTTAGACCGTTAATAAAGGAAGCAATAACAGTTTTTCTCCTTCAAGTTCAATCCCAGAGTCTCCCCGATGGCTGTTGTTAAAGAAGAGGACAGATATCCTGGACCGTTACCGGAGCAACAGCCCTGCAGATAACCAGCGCTTGGACCTGGTAAACAAACATTTGCCTCATTTCAAATCATAAATGTCTTGTGTTAACAAGTAGGATTATTCCTTATTATAACCCAGCTCCTCTTTGTGTTAGTTTGATAATGTTTAACTGCAAGATATAAAGAAACAGATGGTCTTCTAAAATAAGTTGGAAAATGGTCAACAATAGATGGAAAGGTTATGTAATGAGAAAGGTGCATTAAAACTTCTGCCGTCACTCTTTACGATGCTCTTAAAAGAACATCTCAAGGAAACTAACTCTATCAGAGGTAAACTGGAGAGGGGTCGACCACTGTTTATGAATTCTGTCATCTGTGGTCTGTAAAAAGGCTGTAGAGCTTTGGTGTCTATGACGTCTTGCAGCACTAATGTGCAGGAACACTGCTTAAAACCATTGTTTGATGGATTGAGGCTGACCTGACAACCACCCTCTGGTCTGACCAGAATCTGAGATTCTCTTTGGAAATTATGGTCTTCTGGGACCATACTGCTTATTATCAGCACACAGTTTAAATCACTGATGATAGGGGAGTGAGTGGGTGGGTGGGGGTGTTAGTATCACATGACAGCTGTCTGAATGACAGCCTGAACATGCTGTCATTCAGACATGCCTATTTGAGCAAAGGCCTTGCTTTCTTCAGGAAGACAAAACCACATCGTACTCGTACTCCAGCAGCGAAGAGTCCAGATGTTAAACTAGCTGAACCCTGAAAACATTTGAAGAATTTTTCTACTGAAAACTACAAAAAACAACAGGCTCCAAACTCATGCAGGGGGGAAAAAATTGCAGCTGCTTTTCGGCACAGCTATTACATAACAGGGGATTCAGTGTGGTGAAAAACATTCCCTGTGTCAGCATTTTTGAATGTGTTGGCATCAGAAACACAGACTAACAAATCGATTGTTCTCATGGGAGTTTTTTCTTTCAAACATTAGGTCAAAAAACAAACAAACAGTTTTGAATCAACAGCTGGATCATTTGTAAGTGCTTCCAAGCTGATAGCCACCGAATCAGTGATTTTTGTACAGTAACTTAAAATTCAAAAATTTACAGCTGGTTCAGTCTGGATCAGGTGGGATATATATATAT